TGCCCCGGGTATTACAGGCACCTTCGGCAGCCTAACATTGATCATGTCTGTCCTTTCTTTTGTTTGCAGTTTGTCTATATATAGTTATATATAATGAGACTCCGCGCCCCTCGGGCCCAGGGCGATGCCGCCTCCAGGGCGCACCTACCTCTCGACATCTCATTATAGATGCCCTGCAAGTGAGTGCCCAAGTATTTGCGGAATGGCATCTTGATCTCCTGCCAATCGCATCTCGTCGGAATTGCTTCAATTTCGCAGCCTGAGCTATGGCGCAGCTTGCGCGGCTCACAAGACAGCCTTGTTCCCCGGGGCGCCGTGGATTGCGTTGCTCCTCGCGGCCAAGCCCCCCGCGCCCCTCAAAGGCTATCCGCGGTGTCACTGCGGAGAAACCTCGGGGAGGTGCGGCTGGACAACAGCCGCTGCCGAGCCTCTTCTACGGCTCCATTCGATCCCCAAGGCCTCAGCTGCCAACGGCGCGCCGGGCAGATTTTCCATCCGCGCAGCTTTTCTACCCCCCTTGGAGAGCAAGTCCGGGAACAGCCGAACGCCAGTGCTCAGGGGCGAACGAACCGATTCTGCAATCTTTTAGCCCAGGTCCGCCGCTGCTCCTCGTCGCATACTTCATAAATCTATGAGTGGCCTCCCCGGACCCCCTCGTAGCACGAGCCTTCGAACATGATGGAAGTTGCCGTGCCCACTCCGATCTTCTGCAAGGAAAGGAACTGGCGCCGTCCTGCCATCCGCGCAATTGCTTCGCTATGGACTCCGATTCTTCGGCATCGGGTCCACTCGGCAAATTGTTTTCCAAAATGAGATATCTCTGCCATCTCGGGTTCTCCGAGGTCCCAGTCGGAAGCGCATGGGGGGCCGGGGTCGGGAAAACGGAGATCAGGATTGAGTGGGGAGCGCCAATTGATCGCGCCACTAATGCGAGTCGCTCCCGTCGTGCCTGAAGCACGAACATAGGATCGCATTGGATTATGGGTTTGCCGAATTCTAGGGGCGTGCCGCGGGCTTGCTTTCCTTGCTTTCTCGTTGCCAGGCCAGGCGTGTCGTGGCCGTCGGGCCCTCGCATCATGACTATCAAAGAAAGTGGTCACCTCGATCCATATGTCCTGCCCCATCAGGAGGCGGCGGTCGTTCTTCTTCCTGTCCGGGGCCCTCGCTCTCGAGACACGCTCGCCCCCCTTCTTGCGTCGCCTCTGCTGGACCTGCCGCCGACGCCTCGCCCGCTGAATCAATGTGCATCTGCGAACTGCGAGGTTGAGCTGCGTCGTCGGCCTGCTCCACCGCTGCCATGCGCAGCTCTCGCCAGTTCGATTCCGTCTTCGCGGATCGACGTTGTCGGGCCGCGCGTTGCGCAATCTGCCCGCCAAGCGGGCGCGGCAACACCTGGAACCCATTTGCGCGAACCAATAGCATGACGCGCGCGGCTCGCCAGGCCTTGCCCACGCTTCACAAGCGTTAACGGGAATAAATGACTTTTCTTATCGGGAATCTTCTCCGGTGCCCAATTCTCGCCCAGCAAAACTGCGAAGCCCGAGCTTCCGCGGAGCCCTCCCGTGCCCTCCGGCGCCGCCGCCGGGGCCGGCATCGCATCCAAGGGGGGGGAGGGTGGGGGGGCACGGACTCGGACCTGCAGTGGAAGTGTGTGGGCGCCCGAGATGGGTACGGGGAGACTGGGTGCGACGCCTGGCAACAAAGGCTGTCCAAAACCGACAGCGGCCGCCGTTGGGCCGGCGGCTTTCTTGTCTTCAGACATCCGCGTCCGCGGCGGCACGGACAGCGAGTCCGGTTCCAAAAAGGAACAAGACTTGCTGTTGGGCATTGTATCCATTCTCTCCGCACCCATTTCGATCGCCCCGAGAAACCACATCGCAAAGGTCATATCAGCCGCGGCCGAAGCGCACTTGGCAAACGTATTCGTGGTGGCACCGCTTTCCAGCTTGAGGTGCCACCTGTCGGACCTCGGGATCGTGTCGTACAGAGAGGCACTCCGCGGAAAGCAACGCATCTGGCATTACAACATATTTCCCCTCCATCGCAACTCCCACGCTCGAAATCGAACAACATTATTTCCTATACCCCATCTCCCACACTCCCACTCCCACGCTTTGGGAGCACACCAACATTTAGCGCGATCTTATCGGTCCAATGCTTACCCACATTGCTCGCGATCTGGAAGTCGTGACTCCAAGCGCCTGTTCCTCCTCTTCCCCCTCCCCCTCCCGCTCTCCCTCCTCCTCCTCCTCCTCCTCCCCCTGCTCCTCCTCCTGCTCCGATTACTCGTCCTCCTCTCCTCGTCCTCCTCCTCTCTCCTCCTCCTCCTCCTCCTCCTCCTCCTCCTCCCCCTCCTCCTCTCCTCCTCCTCCTCCTCTCATCATCATCATCATCATCATCATCATCAGCATCATCATAGTCATCATAGTCGTCGTCATCATCATCATCATCATCATCATCATCATCATCAGCATCATCATCGCCATCATCATCATCCTCATCACCATCATCATCATCATCATCATCTCATCAACGTCATCATTATCTCATCATCGTCATCATCATCATCAACATCAACATCAACATCATCATTAGCAACATCATCATCATCTCATCATCATCGTCATCATCATCTCATCATCGTCATCAGCATCACCATCAGCACCATCATCACCATCATCACCACCACCATCATCATCATCATCATCATCAGTACCAATATCATCATCATCATCATCATCATCATCATCATCATCATCATCATCATCATCATCATCATCATCATCATCATCATCATCAGCATTGTCTTACACAGCCTGAAAATTCCGCTGCATGCTCCCCCCCACATCGCTGATCAAAACATCTCGCCTGGGCATCGTTTCTGGATGATCTGGCGGGATTATGCGAAGAGTCTAGAGCAGTGTTAATCTTGAGTAATTGTGAAGCAGGTTAGGGCAAATGGGTTTGGGGGAAAGGGGTGGGAGAAAAGAGACGATGAAGGGAGGAAAACGGAACCGAAAGGGAAGGCGCAGAGGAATGGGGAGAGGGAGCATGAACAGGACATGAAGGGAGGTTACGGGAGGAGGTGGTGGGGAGGGGGAGGGGGTGAAGAGGGAGGGACGGAGGGATCGAGAGAGGGTGGATGGGGGAGGAATCGAGAGAGGGATGGAGGGATTGACGGACGGGAGGAGGCAAGAAACCAAGAACGATAACATGAAAATCCATCATCTTTCTCTGTCCCTGCGTCGAGGCACTCATGACATTGCATTCCCCTTGGTCTCTGGCGCGGCCGGCTCCAGGGCCTCGTCCTTGGTCTTTTCCGCAACGCCATCGGTAACCTCCGTATTGACCTCCTCTTTGGTCTCCTCCTTGACATCCTCCTTGGACTCCTCCTTGGTCTCTTCCTTGGACTCCTCCTTGGTCTCTTCCTTGGACTCCTCCTTTGGCTCATCCTTGGGCTCCTCCGTGGTCTCTTCCATGGGCTTCTCTTTGGCGTCCTGCTTCGGAGAGGATGGAGAAAGTGGACCGGGATGGGCGAGGGGAAGCAGAGGGGCATGGGAGGACAGGGTGGTTGTGAGTCGGTCCTCAGTCCGCTCCTTCTCCAGCCGCTGATGATACGGGGTATTCAGGAATCCCTTCCCCCGCAGCGACCAAGGAGGGGGGCAAGGGTAGAAGAAATTGCATCGTCATCGAACTAACCATTTTGAACGTTCGGAGGTCCGAGCGGATGGATCGGCGCTGGACCCCCTCTTTGGCGCAAGGAGCGCGCCAGGGGCGACGCCGCGGGCGCCGCCGGGGGGCCCAGCGCCGATCCAAGAAATCCGCTCGGGCCTCCAACAAATTGATCGTGCTCATGCAGCTTTTCCTAGGCAGCGCTGAAAGGGATCCAACCAGAAGGGCGCGGTGTTTTTTGAGTCCGGACACGAGTCGCTGCGCCGACGCGCGCCCCTGACGTGGTTGCCAAGAACAAGAGGGAACAATGCGGCAACGGATGACGGACGGCAGCGATAGAAAAACCACGCTGACGCCGCGGCGTGGGATCCAGGACACCCCTGGCATCAAGGGAAAATCGGCACCACACCGACCACCGCGAGGAGCCTGGGGTGGTGTTTCTGGCAGTGAAGGGCTGGCACCTCTGGGGCCGCGCATTGAGAAGCACAGATCGTAGGACGTCTTGGAACCAGAGCTAGACCCAAACGTTCTTTTTCGTTTTTCCCAACCATCCTGTGGTGTTGGGTCCTCGTTTTGAAGAGAAAGTGCTCCGCGTCTCCTTCCTCTCCTTCCTCTCCTCCCTCCTCCCCCGCGCCGCACCCATTTCGGCAGACCCCTCACACGTTTCGTGGCCCCATAGGGAGCTCCACCGAAGGCCCCAGTGGGAAAGTTGGCATGGCGGCCTCGGGCCAGTTCGGCGCACCCCTCACACGTTTCGGGGCCCCATAGGGAGCTCCACCGAAGGCCCCAGTGGGAAAGTTCGCATGGCGGCCTCGGGCCAGTTCGGCGCACCCCTCACGAGGATCGTGGCCCCATAGCGAGCCCCACCGAAGGCCCCAGTGGGAAAGTTCACATGGCGGCCTCGGGCCAGTTCGGCGCACCCCTCACGAGGATCGTGGCCCCATCGGGAGCCCCATCGAACATGATAGTCACGATTGCGGTGCTCACAGCTGCCTATGGTTGAGCCCTTCGCCAGGCTAATTGCTTTTCGAGTTTGTTCCACCTGTTGTCCTGTACCTCCCTGCCAGAACGAAATAAGAAAAACAAAAAAAACATAATAAGAAGCTACGACATCCAGCAAAACAGCGCCTACGTCCAGCCCTGGTATATCCGTGGATGTGGCGCGTGGGCATCAGATCCCCGGATCGGGGAGGGCACCCCATGAAGCATGGAGTGCCCGATTTGGCGACGGGGCGGGCCAATTCCGTACGGAAGCGGGTTTCCTCGACGCCCCCGCCGCGGATCCTCGGCCTCCTCCTGGGCGCTGCTGCAGCGCACGTTGTCTCTGCCTCGGCGCGGGGAGCCACCATCGTCCCACGTCCACTTCCTCGCGCGTTGCCTCCTCCACCGCCTCCCTAACCACCCCCTTCCCTATCCACCTCCTCCCCCTCCACCTCCTCCTCCCCCTCCTCACCCCTCCACCTTCTTCCTTTTCATCACCCCGGACCCCCCCTCCTGTCGTCGCCCTGGCCCCCCCAATTTATCTACCACTCGCGGACGGGCGCCGAAGATGAGATTGAGGATGAGGAAGCTGACGTGAACATTTGGGGCAGGACGCAGAGGATGAGGATCATGAGGGGCCGGCTCAGGACGATGACAACGATGGGAATGAATACGCGGAGAAGACGGACGGCGATGAGGTGTTCTAAATATTGACGGGGCGGCTGCCGACGTACACCTGCCAGCATGGCGAAGCCTGGACGGGAAAACACCAAATCAATGAACCAGAACCGTCTGGAACAATGCCGAACTCTCGGGCCACCATCTCCTCCCCGCGGAACGGATCTCCAACTCGAGCGAGCTCGCCAAGCGACATCTTATCCCGAACCTGAGAGTCGGATGCAACACCTGAGACAAAGCAGGGAACATTGCGCATCAGCGGGGAGAGGACAATGGCTACAGCGTCTTCTGGCATCACATGGCAGGAAGCATTCACCACAAGGTTGCCAGAACCAGGGGGACGGTCGACTCGCAATTCTGGTAATTCTGGTCGCCCAGAATGTCCCCCTTCCAACACTTTATGATACTTGCGACGGCCGTGTCTCGTAAACTCGCAATTGCGCACTCCAGCCAACCCACGCTTCGGAAACCAACTGTGACGAAAACGCGCACAGCACCAAATCCATGCGTAAAATTCAGAGCCGTCACAACACATACCTACGATGGTGCTGTAAACGCTGGCGCCGGCAACGTCAAGGCAGGGCCGGATGGGCCCCCGACAAACCCCAGGAAACGGACGGCCGAACCCCTGGACCCCCCGCGACAAGCCGAGCAACGCCACAATATGTTGTGCTCGCGCCAGTCGCGCCGAGGTCTTACAAACTCAGCTGGCTTGGCCTTTCGCTGGGGAGCCACAAACTCGACGCCGTCGCGGTTGAGGCTCGGCCGCTGCGGCAGCGAGCTCGCCGCCAGTCTGCAGAGCGCCCGAGACCCCTCGACCTCGGCATTGAACGGGGCGCTTTCGTGCGCTGCGGCGAGCGGCGACGACGAGGCCCCTGTGTGAGCGGCCTTGCCCGCGCGCCCGCTGCCCAGCCCGCGCAGCACTTCGCGGCCCTCGACCCCCCCAAAGATCCAGGCGCCCTTCCACTCTCGCAGCGCCGTGAGTCCCGACGCGCTCTTTGATGCACTGTGTACGCCACCCATATCTGCGCCTGAACAGAGGAGCGCCCCCTGGCCAGCTTAGAACGTGGTCGACCACCGTCTGCCAGCCAGTAAACGCCTGGCTAGAACCGTCGGCCGCCAAAGAGCTTCCGTCGATGACGATAGCCCAGCGACATCCCCCTGAATCGAAAGCGTTTCCCTCGGCCGTGATCGCCGCACCACCGCTGGGTCAACCGGTCGGGCCACCCCCTCCAGGATGATCAAACAAATCTCGAGCGAACAGAAGTGTCACTGATTCAGGCAGAGGGCCGAGCGCTTGAGATATCGCCGAGGAGATGCAAAAATGAGCTCGCTCGTCCTCACAAGCGCCGCACCGCTAACGCTGGTGGCGAAATGCAGCGGGGGCTCACTTGCTCCGAAGATAACGGATGATCTCAAACAAATAATACCCCGAAGACAGCCCCCCTAACGACCGCCCAGCAGCCGCCGCGCGCCGGATTGCCAATCGCCCCAAGGTCCAACGGGGTAGATTTAGATTCGGTGTAGTCGGCTTTCCCGATGTCATAACATGCCTTGCACTCTACGGCAAGTTGGATTTCGATACTGTTTCGGACGCATCTCCGAACCATTGCTTCGAGTGAGGCCGGGCGCAAGAACTTCGAACAAAACCCGCGCGCCTCAAGGTCAACCGGCCCGTCCAAGTTCTACTAAAAGTTCAACCGAGCCCGCTGACCGACGTGCGCACCGCCAAGATGGGCCCGCGCGCGCGCCTCCAAAGGCGGGAGGGGATGGGCCTTCAAATGCTGAAAAACAGATACTGCGCGTCGTGGACAGCTCGAACACGCGCGGGTACGCATGAACGAGCGCGGCCCGAATCTCCTGCACCCGCCGCACAATGGGGGGCGCTGCCCCGCGCCAGCGCGTTCGCCGGCACGCGCGCGCGCCGCCGTGGGGGGCCGCCCTCCGCCTGCTGCGCGGGCGCAGCGGCCCGCGGCAGCGCGGGCGCGCGCTGGTTCTCCGCTGCCGACGCCGCGCCCCTCGCCCCCATAACAGGAATGCGAGATGAGGCCCGCTTCGGGAACATTGGTTTGTCTCTGGGTCCGAGAAACACGTCGGTCGAAATCCTCGCGCCATTTGTTCGGCCGAGCCCCGCGACCCCGGATCCGTCGAGAAGTCGCCGCGCAATCAATCCCGAACTTAACTTGATGGCCGACGCCTTGGAGTTGCCTTGCGCGCCCCCCAGGCGGCCAAGCCGCGCCGCCACCGCCTGGCCGAGGGCGCCGCTGCTCGCCGCGCGGGCCAACTTATCGGAGGCAACCGTGCACATCACCTCGTCGGCAACAGCTTGAGAAACTTCCAAAAACACCTGCTGGAGCCCATCGGGGGCGTTTGCAACGCGCCTGTTGCAGACAAATCAACATCATCGGTTAAAGACTCCACGTATACACCGCAAGAGAAATTTACATGCTAAAACTCTGCGCGTGGCTGGGCCGAGCCGCGCGATGACCCCCTGGCGGCCAAATGAGGCCCGTCGATGCACCCCGCGACGTCGGACAACACGGGGCAGCATGGGAGCTGCGCGGCCGCCGCCGCGCGATCGGCGGCAGACTTGAGACCGCGGCTTTAGGGGACAGAGCACATGTTATGGGTGGAACACTTATGACGCCGGCCAGTATCCAAGGCCCATGAGATCATTTTTTTATTCCGGCCGGTAACGCTCGTCACCCGGGGGGGGGGGGTCGTGCCCCCCGGGTAACGGTAACGCTTGGGCTGGGCGGGGCATGGCGAAGCAGGGGCGCTCTGCGATCGCCATAGTATGCGCGCGAGCAGCACTCTCTGCCTGAGAGCACCACAGTGGCTTGCGATTCGAGTACAAGCGCAAAGCCCGCCGCGTGGTCCCGGCACCACGCCCGCGCCCGCGCGCGCGACGACGATGATCGACGAGCGACGAGCGACGAGGTCGACGACGACGACGACGACGTTTGCCGCCTGTTTCGGCCTCCGGAGGCCGTTTTCGGGCGCCGTCGACGACGACGACGACGACGACGACGACGACGACGACGACGACGACGACGACGATTCGAGTACAAGCGCAAAGCCCGCAAGCACCAGCATCGCGCATGCGAGCGCCGCAATGGCCTGCGAGCGCCCACAGTGCGCCTGCGACCACCACACCACAGTGCGCATGCCTTCGGGCACCAGCATGTTGGAGGGGAAGACCGAGACCCCCCCCGCGTACGAGCGTTACCGTTACGGGGGGGGGGGGAGAGGCCCGGGTAACGAGCGTTACCCCCCAGAGGATAAAAAAACAATCTCCATTTTCGCCGACTGCGGATAAGAATGCGCCCCTCTACGGCGGCGGAGCTGCTCCATCGACGTTGCGGCCGTCGACCAGCAAAGCAAAATGGCTTCGCCCGCGCAGCCGTGGATTGGCGCGCGGGTTGCAATCGACCGACAGACAAATGGCGTCAAAAGTCACGTCGGCCCAGACTCCGCAGGGTTACCTGCGCAAGCGAGGCGCAAAAACCATGGGCGCGCAATGCTACCCCGACGACGGGAGATCAGGCCGCGCGGCAACCTTCCAATGGGGAGCCGCCGAAATGGAGGCCCCCCAAACTGGTCGACCTCGCCCTCGCCCCCCAGCGGATTGCCCCCCATGGTCTAAGCATGAGAATTTCCTTTTCGAATCCGAAATAACTAGACATGGCGCCCCCCTGTTACCCCTGGCCCCCGCGGCCCCGAGAGCGCCGCGACGCGTCGCGCCCGGGTGCCCCCCCGACGCGCCCATTGCGAGGTTGCGCAGCGGCGGGGCCTTTCGTCGACGATGATCCTACAATTCATTCCACGTCGCCCGCCACTCCTGCAATCGCGCCCGCGCGCAAACGTTCCTACCCCGCGAGCCCCGGCAGCAAGGTCACCCCCGCCCTCCGCGAAACAGACGACTAGTTTAGCGACGCGCCACTTCCCCCGACAGGGCGCGCCAGCGATGGAATCGCTGCGCGCGCCCCCCGCAAAACCGGCGGGCAACTTGCGCGGATATTCCCCCGGACAGGGGTCGGGCTGAGTATCCTCCGCCAACTGCAGCGCGCGCGATCCCCCCGCCCCCCTCGCGCGCGCCACCGCAATTCGAACGCCCCCATCGGGCGCCCCGCCCCCCCCCCCCGCCCGCGGGTTTAGGGGGCGTCGCCGACGGGGCTGATCGAATGAGCAGCGGAAGCGAGGACATGGCCTCAACGTAGCCAGTCAGCGCGGGTCGCGCCGCGGGACCGTCGTCGCGCAACATGCCAAAAGAACGCGCGTGGAAGCCGCCCGCGGATGCTGCTGACCGTTTGCTGTGCCCCATGCTTGCAGTTTTAACAGCGCCAAGGGGCGCGCGATCAGTGACTCGGACGGCTGGAAACCGCGCCCCTGCCGACAATCTAAAAAATCCGAATCTGCCAGCCAGAGGTCTTGAAAACGCTCGCCATCAACCTCGAGCGGCGCGCGTGGGCCCCAAACGTTCCGATGGGCGAGTCCAAAGATGAGCCCCCCCCCCCCCCCCCCCCCCCTTGTCTGCCCCTGGCCAATCGCTCTTTCCAGGGCGCCCCCGGCCCCCGAGAAGCCCGCGGCGCGGCCGAAGACGGCGCGTGGAGGACAAGCTAAATGCCTGATCTGGGTCTTGAGCCCCGGCGCAAACCACTCCCCAGTC